TAAAGAACGCCTAAACCCCAAAGTTGAAGATGCTGCAGATCATACTTGAAGGTCAGACACTGCAGTGTCCGCACTATAAGTCATATACCCCTTGCTTGAACTTTCTTCAAACTTGGTTTAAAATATGAACGGAACAGAACAGACATTTTATTTTAGACTTACACATAGTTCATCTCCATGCAAGTAGAAAGAACATAACAATGATCATAAGTCACGTTGTCATGACAACACAAAATACAATATGATACTTTTCTATCAGGTAAGAGAAAATATGTTTGTTTACAAGGAGAAAGATAGATATTTTATTAGATAATATTTTCTTTGAAATCCAAACGACAACCTAACAGGATATAAATATATTTTTTACAATATTAGTTGCTTTTTCTGATTGTTTACAAAATTTACCTGTATCACCTCTTCTTTGCGCCGATGTACCAAAGATGCCAATTTACAAAAGTACTGCACTATCAAGTGCTCTGCAAAAAGAAAATGACATTCATTCCGTTTAATTAAACTGCAATTAATTAAAACTGTCGTATTCTAACCAAACGACATGGCATAAAAATGCAGACGACAAAATTCTTATTATTGCCCGTTCTGATTAATTCAATTTTCCTTTTGATAAATCAACAAACACTATACCTCATGTAATAAGAATAAATAAATAAAATAATTTTTTATTTTTAAGAGAAATAAATCTTACCTATTGTCTATTTTTAAAGAGATAAGGGATACTCCGGACAAGAAAAAAGAATTCGATCACATAATTATAATGTAAATTCACACAGGGACAACAAATAATGACTGCTGCCATACTTTGTCACTTTCCTGTATTATGTAATGCGGTTATTCTATTTAGGATGTTAATTATTTACATGTGAATATAAACTGTCGGTATGTTTTCTTTTCTTCTTTATTTGTGTGTGGGGGGGAGGACCAACAAGTCATACTTCGGCTTTCAAGCTCTAAAATATACTAATTATAATTTCTTATGCATTAAAACCTGTCAAGATGATACCAAATTATTTATTTATTGACTCAATGCAAATTTACCAGAATATGTCCGAAACGACCGAGAGGGGCATTTTCTGATACATAATAAATGTATATATATTCTTATTGTCACGACTTGTCAACCCACTTTGACTAGGATTTGGAGTAGCCCATTAGAGGTTTCAAGAGTCCAGCATGACAGGAAAGGTTCAGACAGTGTGAATGTGCAGATTAACCAAGCTTGCGTTGACAAAGGATCTGTAGTTCCGGTTCCAATATTGTAATGGCTGAAGCAAATCAGCAATTTTCATGAGCATACTTTTATTATCTTAACGGCAGTCTATATACAGCTTTAAAAATGTTTACATCCCTCTATGACATTTTAATAAATTAAATGAGCAGCGCCATGTCAAAACCAACATAGTGCGTTTGTGCGCAGTCTGATCATGATCAATGATATTCGCTATCAGTTTCTCTACTTATAATATGGTTAGTAAGCCCTGATCAGACTGCGCAAATGCGCAGTCTGTCCTATATTCAACGCACTATGTTAATTTTGTCATGGCGCGGCTCAAATATCATTCAAAATTTTCAGTCTTGCAATTTTTGAGGAACGATATAATTCTCTTCCACCATTACATACTGATGATCAGAGTTTTAAAAGCCTAAAAACATAAAATATAAAGTTGTAATCAGAACCAAGCTTGGCACTCAAAACATTACAGTATGTAAAATACAATTTCTACTCAGAAATAAATTGATCATCTTATTTTTGCGCCTGATTTGAGTGCAGCGTTTCTCAATTTTAGGTCATTTTCCACAATTAAAATGATTATTTTGGAACAACAGAATAAATATCGAAAACTAATTTCCAATACACCACAGTGGAGTGCCTTTAAATGCCTTTGAACTACTTCCTTTCACACGACATGTCAAAATTTAAAGCGGAGTGATCGCAGCATGTCTTGCGTGTATATACTTTCCATTCTAAGGGAGATGACTTTGCACGTATCTTTCAATTTATTTATATGAGTTGCTTCCCTTGTCCAACCAAAATTTGAATATAGTACGTATAATGTTCGTCTTGCAATTTTGCAAAACAGTCAAGTAAGTCTTTATGTATCAAAACCCTATAAATAAATTGCAACTAAATAAATGTCAAAATATAATAATTTTGATCGATTTCAATCAAATAATCATGTCATGTATCATATATATGTTTCACCATAGAACAACCATCTTTAACATAATTCCATACATATGTATGTATATGAGGAACCCAACGCCGGACTCTGTTAGCATTGTGAATATATGTATGATACAAATGAGCCGCGTCACGACAAAACCAACATAATGGGTTTGCGACCAGCATGGATCCAGACCGGCCTGCGCAACCGCGCAGTCTGATCAGGATCCTTGCTGTTCGCTTACATACCCTTACAAGTAGAGAAACTGATAGCGAACAGCATGGATCCTGATCAGACTGCGCGAATGCGCAAGCTGGTCTGGATCCATGCTGGTCGCAAACCGATTATGTTGGTTTTGTCATGGCGCGGCTCAAATTATAATGATAAAAAAACCTTCTTACTCTATTTTACTCGATTTACTAATAATTGAATTACTCGGTGAGAATAAAAATATCATCATTCTTTAGTTAAAAGTCTGTAAATATTGTTAATATTTTAACATTTATTTTACTAGCACTGAGACAATAACAGTGCCTTATAAGCAATCATAATTTTCACTTATCTTAAAAGCTTCACCAGTTTTAATTTCAGTAGACGCTACAAAAATTACTAAATTATCAATCATTTTCTTTCCTCCCATAAAGTCTTTATTTTGAACCAATTTGCAGCCTCAGCTCCTAATCAACCGAGTCTTCTTTATCCTGTAACTCTTCCATTTTGATTTCTACTTTTCACATAAATGTAACTATATTAAAAATTTAAATTAGTAAAATAAGATAACAATAAAATGAAAAATGAACTTCAGTGAAAACAAGTATCTCATTCTGTTACAATTAATCTCCAACCAGGTGAGCGACTTCAGGGCCAACCAGGTGGACTCCAGAGTCAGCGTGACCCTCTTCTCAAAACCCATTAACTGTTTTTAAACACTTGATTAACTTTTACATTCTAAAGATTTTAAACTTGATAGAAATTATGAATTTTGGTACATTTGCTCTATATTGGAATTCGCCATGGTACCTTAATTAGTAGCTTCCCTTATTAGGTACGGGTATAATGCACGTAAATAAGTGAAAAAGTTTTTTATTGGATCATTTTGGAATAAATTTCGGACAACTAGCGTTGGGAAATGGGTTATATGTTTAAATAAGAAGAATCAACAAATACAGGCCTGATTTTTAAGTTTAAATATTTTGTGTTAAACGTTTAGTATGGTGTTATCCAATTGCGGCCTGCCCATCCCAAAAAGTTCCAAACAGCTTCTACCTATCGCGCGAGGACGAATAGTTTATTTTAACAGGTGTGTCGCTGACATCTAACATGAAGATAAAATATATTTCTTATTATCTATCAAACCCTATCTAACATGCCAGACATTTCTTCATTTTGGTAACTTTACTTTTATAGTTTTCCTTTCAATTTAACACTTATTTTTTACAATTTATTCGTATCCGCTCGGACGAATTGTAAAGTTATACCATGTAAACACCCCTGTCGGGGAATTGAATTCACCCATTAATTCGGTAAACGCACTGTATGTAATCTGTACTGAGATAAATTGTCGTGTGCGGTTAAATTACGCGTTTACCAATTTTAATTGTAAAACGCTCAGGAAACCCATGTCCGTTGAAAATGAATAAAAGTGAAACTCATAGAGCCTTTTAAAAAAGAGATGAATAAAATATGACAATATTAAAAATGTAAATAAGAGCTAGTTTTACAACGAAGTGTACGTAATTTTTTTATCAATTTAAAGACATGTAGCCAACACAAAGTTGTAAGTAGTTATAGACTGTCGTTAACATTCGAAAAATGTGCTCATGAAAAGTGCTCATTTGCTTTAGCAATTACAGTTTTACATTATTACATTTGTTTGGTCTTGTGTCTTTTCCGTTACTGTTAATTTTTGATATAACAATTGTGTGGGATATATGTTGATATGATGATACTACTAATATACACATGATGTCGATGTATTAAAGATCCTGTATGTTGTAATTGAGGTTGTATACCACACTTAAGTGAAATTATATATATGTATATAATTATGCATATAAAACAATTTTCAAACATCGAAGAATATGTAAAATATGTACTGCAAATATTTGTTCATATTATATGTAATCATTAAAATATATGCATTCATTTCTTATTGAAAAATTTGACTTAGACTTAATAGAAAATAGATTTCAAATTACCTCCCTTTATTTATATGAACTGTTAAATTCGATAATATCTTTATAAATAATGCTTTTTGGAACTTACAAAATTGATAAATATTAATTTGAGCATCTTATTTAAGATATAAAACCATAGAAAAAAATGTGTGACAGGATCTTTAATGCTCACGCTGTTCTCACGTTGTACGTAACCGCCGCAATTGAATGTATGGCGATGAACATGTAATATGTTTATATGCTAATAAAATAATTGAATTGAATTGAATACAGAGTGCTGGAACTGAAATGACAAAACTTTTGTAGCAAATCCTTAATAGAGCCAGTATAAGTATATAAATATATATCTAGTGCTAGTCGGACGAATCGGACAATCCAGCTGGGGGTATGTATTGAGATAATTAATGACTGAGTCATAGATAACATCTACATCTCTGTTAATGACATGTACATGTTTATGAATATTGTTTATCATATATATAGATTTTAATACCTAAGACAATCAGCATATAGAGTTCTAACATAATGTGTTTTTTTTTCAAACATATTCTGTGAACAACTGAAGTTAATGTTATGGGCCATTTACCGACTTTTGATACTTGTAATCTTAACACCCCAAATAGATTTACCGCATCGCATATACAGGAGAGTGACGAAGTATGGTAAGACACTTCAAAAGCAGTCCTCGACAGTCGCTTGTTTGGATTTGTTGTGTCTGTGTGAAATTACATACATGTGATGTTAAATTTTTCTTGTTTCTAGAGGTCCGGATTAACCCTTCCAAAATGGATAACAGGTAAGACTTTTCTCTTAAAAAATTAATTATTTATTTTTAATTACGTTAGATCTATTCTACGCCGATTTATCAAATATTCGATTTAATTTGACTCTTTAAACCGAACAGGTGTTTTATTTAAAGCAAGAATTAAACGTGTAGAATTTTGTCGTCTGCATTTTTATGCGATGTCGTCTGCTTAAAATACGACAGTTTTAATTAATTGCAGTTTAATTAAACGAAATGAATGTCATTTTCTTTTTGCAGAGCACTTGTTAGTGCTGTACTTTTGTTAATTGGCATCTTTGGTACATCGGCGCAAAGACGCGGTGATACAGGTAAACTTTGCAAACAATCAGAAAGTGCATCTTTTTAATAGATTATCGATTTATATTGGTAAAGTATTGATGAGAAATCAATGAATCATGAATGATAATCTATTAAGAAGTTTATTTTATTACATTAATATTTCATTTATCTGCTTTTGAAAAGTTGACAAATTTATTGCATGTGTTAATCTTGAATGTTTGTTTGTAAATGTCAATATTAAATGAATATCCCACTTTTATAGAATTACATAATATATGTATCAAAAGGATCAAACATAAGTAAAATAAATATTTCTTATATCAAATATTGTGTAACAGTATTTGCACATTGTATCATGTTTATTGAAATTTATGTTTAATTAATGAACAATTAAAGGTTGTTCAATTTACTTTATAAACAAAACTATTTTAATAGGGTGGTGCATAAATTGCAACTTAATAAACAATGTTTAATGGTTGAGTATTTCATGGGATGAAAGGCTGAAATTATACTTTCTTATTTATACTGTGAAAGAAAATTCAATATTATGTAAGGGTATTCCATTGTTGTGTTGGGGTAATTAGTGTTGTGTTGGGGTAATCAGTACATGTTGTGTTGGGGTAATTAGTGTTGTGTTGGGGGTATTTTATTGTTGTGTTGGGGTATTTCATTGTTGTGTTGGGGTATTTCAATGCTGTGTTGCTGTATTGCAGTGTATAATTTACTCTTCAAAATCAGTTAATTTAATATTGCTAAAAATAATAACCCTTGGAAAGATCGCTTTTAATAATGGTCATTCTTATTTTTTCCAGTTTTTTTAATGACATCTATATATATATATTCATATAGTGACCACTTACAGAGTGTAGGGTTTAAAACATAAAATAACTACTTTATGTGAAGTCAAAAGTTAACAGGTTTATTTTATACATACAAAGAGATTTGTGTATCAATTAACAATATTTTCAAATATCGAAATCCGAGCATAAGTATATCTTTAACATTGTAGAGATTCAGTGGCAATAAAAAAAAAATGAAGAGTAAAACAAACATTTGTATTAAATATGTAATAAAATGTTATGTGTGTGTATGTGTGACCTGAAAGTGAATTGTATACACAAATGACTGCCAAAATTTAACACTAGCTATATAAAAGTACATTATGACAGTGTATAGAAGTGACATTATTTCAACACTTTGTATTTTATGCATAAAATTTTATATTGGCCTATTTCCGACAATCCGTCATCCCTGAAGATTCAATTTTCTCTTAAAATACATTTAAGTTTTCGATATCTGACCTTTTATATCACTATTATACTTTATGGTAATTTATAACATATAATTTCATGTTCATAGGTTTAATAAGCTGCCTTTATTTTACACACACATAGCATACATACATTTAAGTTTTTATAAACATATATGTGTCCCTGCTAACACCTTTATCTAGATTTCGTAGCTTTGATGATTTCGTAGCTTTAAGTCTCGTATATTTAAATTTTCATGTTTTTTTTTTTACGGTAGGCAATATACGTATATGTTTATCTTATTGTTATGTAAATATTTCAGTTAATGTGGTTCCTATTCTCATCACTTGTGATATAAAATGATCATAAAAATTGTTATACCGTGGAATGTACGTGTAGTATAATATTCAATTTAACTCATTTAAAGCTACAAGATTGAATATATAATTATATGTCATTTAATTTCATTTATTTGACACTTTGGTATACAATAAGCTAAATGTTTACAGGGTTCCATCAGTTAAAATGCTGTTAAAATTGTATTTTCAGCCTGTATATTAAAGTTTCACCCTTGACCCTTGGCAAAATCGGTTGGTTTTTTTAGCATTTTTTGCCTCAGATAAAAATGAAAACCCTGTGTTAACTCATTTTTCAATTGTATCAATATGCCATTCTTAAATGTACTCAAGCCAAGGCATATATTATGTCAACCTGCTTTTATGTTTGGGCTTTGAAATTATGAAGAAAAACAACAGAATGGTGTCTTAAAACATTTTTGTTTGGGTGAAGATTTTAAGCTGACACTTGCTAAGTGTTGCTGGTGGAAGGGGGGGAGGGTTTAATGACTCAATTGTAAAGTAAAAATGGTTACGGATATTAGTCTAGATAGACACTACAGTGTTATAACATTAGAAATAAAATATAATTCACTGCTTTGGTATAAAAACTGCATCAATTTTAAATTGTCTCATGTAAAGATATCATGATAACTTCAGCAGTGATTGCTAGCTCTAGAACGATATGTAAATCAGAGAAGTACCGTAACAAAAATATATCTACCCAAACTGTTTTAATCAAGCAATCAAATTTTTTTATCAAAATTTTTTGAGAAAAAAAACTTACAAAAGGATTCAATCTTGTCTCGACAAACATTTTACTTTGGTACATTATAAATTTTTAAGTTCTATAATGTCTTAAAAAGCTCATGTTCTATAACTTTAATTTACAACAGGTGTTCTAGATATAACTTAATTAGTGTTTAAAATTACTAAGGTCGTTAACAGTATTCTGCCCTTTTATTCTGTATATATATTTTTGAAAAAAAAGTGTTTCATTCAAAGAAGTTTCATTTCTGTGCCGTTAAGATGATGAGGTCAGATAACATTGCTGAATTGTGCGACTTTAATGAAGTCATGAGGTGGAGTGGCTGAGTCAGATGTAAGATAGGACCCTCTGATGAAATTCAAGCCCTCGTCTGATGTAATTCAAACCCTCGGAATTTCATGTTGAACACTTTCTTTGCTACTTAGGTGGTGTATTTAACGTAATTGGCTTTAAATTGAAAACATACGGACAAAGCTGATGTTTTGTATGTGAAATCGTTTAATTTGAATTGCGCATTTCTTGAAATGCATGGATTTATGCAATGCTTTGATGCAAATTTATTCCTCTTTTTCTAAATGTTCAATTATGTCTGGTTACTGCTACATGATGCATGGATTGTAATTGATTCCATTAGAGATAAAACTTTATTCCAAAGATACCTTGATATGATTCAAAGATGTATAAAATTTTATTCCAAAATACTTTGATATGATTCAAAGATGTATGAAACGTTATTCCAAAGATTTAAAAACATTATTCCAAAATAGTTTAAATATATAATATGTAAAAAATGCTGCTGTTAAATTAAGCATCATGCATCGTAAAAATGCATCGTAAAAAAAAAAAAGCTGCTGTTTAATTAAGAATCATGCATTGTAAAATAAAAAATAAAAATGCTAATCTAATTCTTGCAATTGATATAATGATGGAAATTTGACGTGTAAAATTATGTAAAAGTTTATAAAATATATAATACATATAAAATAAAATGAATGTACTCAATTCTTATTTAAGCAAAGATAATTTGTAACAGAGAATTTTCTTGGCCTAATGAACATTATAATATAAGCAATAAATTAATGTATAATATTTTTAACATTTTTTTTTTGAATTAATGTAATTATAATATTCTAATAAGTGATGTAAATATAGATGTCATATGACTTTTGATTCAAGGACTTAAGCGGACCCAGGTAAACAATACCGGCTTTATATGAAAATAGATCATTCAAATATGTAATAATTGGTACATAATTGAATTTACATTACAAGTGGTGTTTTGACAAACATTTTTTCTTAAAATGATATGAAATGCCTCTACCTAAGTCCCCATAACCCCTGAGTCCCCTATAATGGTAATTTATTTTTAGGCCCTGGAAAATGATTATGTTCGAGCTAAAAATAAACATTGATAAATTATAAACATGTCAATATGGCTCACTTTGTTTGACAGGTAAGGTACACCTTGAACACTGTCTTCTAATGTACACCACATATTGATAATTAATATATTTATTTTATTGTTTTTCAAGTGTCCAAAATAATTACCTTTTGACTGTCATAGAGAGAGACATTAGCTAAGTCATTAACTGACAGGTGAATTATGGGAGGAAAATTCCCTACCCTAGGGGGGAACAGAGGCTTGTTGAATGTAATTACCAGTTTCAGCAGTCTTGATGGCAATATCATTACCCTGGGGGGCAAAGGGGGGTGGAGGCTGAAGATATTTACATAAAATGGCTACATTATAGCAATCTTTAAGGTAACAGATAAGTGAAGAAAAAAGATAATTTAAGTGACAAATAATCACTATTTTACCTTATTTACATTATTCAGGTGCTTAATCTATAATATATTATTATTACCCTGCTAGAAGTGAGCAACTTGGCCTGGAGGCTCTATATCCTCAAAATGATTTTAGCATAATAAATGTAATAGCGAAAATGCCACCTTTATGATGGTTGCTGTAGATTCTATATATTTATGTACCATATTTTAAATACAAAGAGTTCAATCTACTATCACTATAAGCTCTATAGTACAATTGTTCAGGTCAAACACAAAATTTAATAACCCATGTTAATTTTAATGAAATTGAAAGAACTGTGTAAGGGGGGAATCTCTATGAAAATGGTTGAAAAAGTGTCAGTGGAAGTTATCACATAAATTGACCAATCTGCTGACTAAATCATGGATACCAATGTTTCGCTTTCTCTATAGAATTTATATATACAGTCATTTTGGGAGAATATGTTTAGTCATCACTTTTCTATGAACCTCGCATTACATGTAAAATATTCCAGGGAAAACTAGTTTTAAGCATTTCATTTTTGTATTAGTAATTTTAAAACAATTTTTTTGCTAAGTAAAAACATCTCTTCATCATGGCATTTTAATGGTGCAGGAAAAGTGAATTCTTGAGCATTGTGTCAGTATACATCTGCAATTTTTTTTTTGTTTCTTTTCTGCATCGTCCACATTTATTACGCATTCCCTGCAATACTTGTCTCGTGACAAATTACAGTGGGAACATTAACATTTTTTTCATATGTATTTTGCTCGGCATCCGAGTTGAGAGATTTATTTCAATTTTTCTCATTTCTATCATGGTATATTGTGCAAGATTTACTGTGTAGATATTTTGTTTAATAAATTTTTTTGCGCTGACAAAATAT